TTCTCGACATCGTCATCGTCTTTTGCCGGGGCCACCAGCTTCCTGATAGTGAAGCTGAAGTCATCGCGCTCGACTCTCGTCTCTCGAGCCACACGGGCCCCTCTGTAGGGGATGAAACTTTGCCCCTCGTCCTCTTCCAGATCCGTGATATCCGTGTCCGTACTTCTAGGCTCGTTGTCCGGCCCGAAGTAGCTATCGTGGGGGCCCGGGGGAAAGTGGCGGCTGGCATAGCCGGAGGCGCTGTAGGTCCACGCCTCGTTTATCGTGATCCAGTGCTTCACGCGGTCCCCAAACTCCCAGAAGCATAGATCCGCAAAGTCCCGAAAGTCGTCTCTGATTATTATTGTTATGATATGATTATTTACATATGTATGTTTACGAATCGGTTTATTTATATTAATAAACGAGTCGAGCTGCAGCTCGAGTATCAAAAACACAAGCAGCTCTGCGCTTGAGTTGCTTATGACTCTATTTATATGCATGGAGAGATAAAATTAGAAGAGCTTACATTATCTTGTGGCTCAAGAAACCGCCATACTCTTTCTCTAGTAAGTAAGGAAGGTCCCAATGGAAGAGAGTCACGTATGGTTTCATGCCTGCACCATACATTATCTATATATAACTTCTTTGAATAAATCATGACTAATATATATGTATCGAATAATAGAAGAGATCGAGTTTTTGACTGGATCGTAAATATCAAACCGTTATCGATGACAGTGTTGATGAGATCATTGTAGTAGTCGATGCCTTCTTGATTGACACCAAGGGAAACTTTCCCACCTAACGATAAAAACATGTGCAAAAATACAAAAATGTGTTTAAACTACATGGTTCCGTGACGGGAACGTAGCATTTCCCATAATTATATATATATGTTATACCAGGCAATATTCTTGACCATGAGATTGAAAATCTGTAAGCATCAAAGCCCATGATCTTCATCGTCTTGATGTCTTCCTGAAAATCGACGCGGTTGAGTAGATTTAATCATATTACTGATCCGAAAAACGGCCTTTCTCAGCTGAAATGAATTAATATCAGTATGTAGAGAGGTAAAATCGAGTCGATATATATACCTTGTATCTGTTGTACATATCCACAGCCACATTTCCATTTGATCCATCAAGAATGTTCCCTATATATATATATATATCATCATCCCCAAACTCATCATTAATTTGTTCATGACTATGTGTGTGTGTGTGTGTGTGTGTGTGTGAGAGAGAGAGAGAGAGAGAGAGAGAGAGAGAAACCTGGATAGCCATTGGAGAAAACATCCCATGTACTAAAGGCTCTACCACCTTGTGCAAAAGCTCCTTCAACCTAAATTTTTCGAAGAAAACAAAAGACAAAATTACATGATTTTTTTTTTTTTTATTTGGGTTCGTAACCGTAATGCTATAGTACTATTGGTCGTAAATGTACGAGGAAGACGAACTTGGTAAGCAGAGGTAGCGCAGCCAAACACGAAATCCTTAGGGAAATCGTGACGACTGATTTTGAGGTCGACCGGTAGCGATGGCACATCACTCCCCATATTGACTATATATCTATAGAGCAAGCTCTTTGCTTTTTCTTCTTTATTTCTATAGTGAGATTAATTTGCTTGAGCTTTTATGTGTGAACAAATAGAAAGAGCCTTGCACATGTATTTATAGGGCCAACCATGCATGAGCAAGGCCTCAGTGATTTCGAGTCATCTTCAATAATAATTTCCTGGTTTTACGCGTTCACAATTTTTTAATTAGTTGTGTAGGACACTTCTTATCTGTTCATTAATAAATATATGTATTTAATAAACAAATTGTAATTGATTAATCTTAACGTGAATCAAGCTCCAGTAGTTTTAATTATTAAATTTGTCTTATTATTGAACGTTAAATCGTGTACAAATAATTTGCATTCTATACAGTCCTATACCCATATAAAATATAATTTAAATTTATTTATAAAACTATAATATAATATATAAAATAAAATTGTAAATTAACTTTTAAAGTAATAGAAAATTACTTGTATTAACATACCATAAAATAGTTATTTTATTTAGTAAAAAATATATAAACTATGTAGGACCATAAAATTAATATAAAAAGGTGTTCTAAATATTTATGTATCCACTTAAGTAAGGACTATAGTGAGATTGAACATTACAACAATATTGAAAACTGAAACATCGGGCCGATATTTCCCTTACACTCGTACGTATTTGTCATACCACAAATTCTTGAATCACTCGACCACTCCTCTCAAACCGATTGAGCCTCTTTGATCGTCGGTACTGCAAAACACGGTGGTCCCAGTGGACATTCCGACACTCAAGTGAGTGATGTATCCGAGAGAAAACGACAGAGTATCGAGATAATGTCTATGTGCGTTTTGTGTAAAATGAATGAACCTGCCCATTTTATAGGTGAGGTCATGTATAGGTCAAAGAGTTCTTGTCGAACCATAAGTCTTTCTCGTGTCTACCTCTAAATCAGGGCAGATATGTCAGATCTTCAGAGTCCTCATCGCTAAAAACTTGTGACTTGCTCACAAAGCCACCTCCAGGCTCTGGTCGAGCTGCCTAGGTGCAGAGGTGCTTATGCGTCGAGCTACCTAGGTGCCTAAGCGCCGAGCCGCTTAGGTGATCACATCTGTCTAGCTCCCATTCGCCTAACTTACCCACCTCTGATACTTCGCCTAGCTTATGTCGAGCTAATCTCTGCTTAGCTGGTTGAGCTACGCCTAGTTGGTTGAACCACGCCTAGCTAGCCCTCGGCTAGCTATGACTAAGTTCGGCCTATGACGGTCCTCCATGAACCGCTACTTATGGCCGTATGAGTATTAAATTGTAAATTATTAAATATTATATAGTTTAAGATATTTGAAAAAATAGTAGATGGGGAAGAAAACTTTATAAATATAAAACATGATTACAATATAATCAACCTTGGATAAAATATGATTACCATATCATTTCTTTACTTCTTTATATTGATGCAATTTTTTGTCATGCACAATGTTATTCAAGGGCGTTCTATAGGTGTCGCATGAATTAATTATTTCATTAAATTTTGGAAGAACATATATTTCTTAATTAGAACAAATAATATTAACGTACAACATTATATTCTAGAATTCAAAATAATATTCATTTTTTTTTTTTTACTTTATAACATTTTACTTAACAATAAGAAGATAATATTTCTTCAATTTTCGTTGCACAATTATTTTCATAACCAAACACTCGTATAGTTCACGGACATTGTACTAGTCTATTAATATATACGGTTAAGGTTTTATCTTATATAGTAATAAAAATTCCACCTAGAAGTTATTATTTTACTAATTTAAAACTATTTTGAATATTGAATTATCCCGCATTTGATACATATATTTTTTATTTGAAATTCAAATTCTAATCTATTAATACATTTGAATTTTAAATCAGTATTTTTTAATAAAATGGTAAGTTTTTCATGTATAAACGATGTTGGACAAATCACAAGTGATATTATATTATAATAATTTCTATATCTTCTGACATGTCCTCCCAGTTTTCAGCGGTTGGCTGTATTATGCTAGGGGCTATGTATTTTGTACATTTGTGCGTTTTTGATTTATAATATCCCTGTCATTTTGTCAAAAAAATACCATAAATATATAATATACTAGTATTTAATTATGTGCACATGCACAAGTGCAAATAAAAGTTTATATGTTATAGTTGTGTATTTAATAGTTAAAATCACAAGTTAGATAACGGGCAATACATTTTATAAATTTTATCATTAGTAAAAATGTACGCTATAATAATTATAAACAATTTGATTTAAATATTAATCATTATTGATTGCAATAGTGTAATTTTTATTAATTACCACTAATTAATTAGATACAATAATATTAAAATTATTGTTGTAGCAATTGTGTAAGGAAGTTCAAGGATTTTAATTATGACATAAGACATAATTAATGAATTAAAACTTACTTCATTGGATGAAGAAAAGAAATAATAATTTTAAATAAATAAAAAAATAATGAAATATCATTTAATGTGACTTTACGATTAGTTAGTATTATTAGCTATTATGTACTGAAACAAATAAAAAATATAACTAATTAATTGATTCAAAATGTAACGGAAAATGGAGGAATAACAAAAAGAGTTTAATTAAATCTTTTTCCAACATATATATATATATATATATATATTAAAATAAATTTGCAGATTTGTAAATGTTCCTTTTACAAAATAAGACACATAAATTGTTCCAATACAATTTTAAAAATAAAAATGCACTTAAGTATAGGAAGCAAAAATAATATGATAATACTTAAGTATACAATTTTAAAATATTCTTTTCCAAACCAGGTTTATATCTAATCATGCCATTTATATCCATATTAAACTTGTATATATAAAGTCTTTTTTATTTCTTCCCTAGAAATTGTTTAATTTGTTCAAAATATTGCACATATAAAAAACGATAAAATA